GAAAGGGAAAATGGAAAATTTGGTTGTGTATTTACATTTGTATTTTAGAATGGTAAAAATATTAAAGAAAAATTATTAGTTATTGATAATTGCAAAACTATTTTGAGAAGCTGTGATATTATTTGAATTGATTAATTGTTATTGTTTTTAAATTTTTATAAAAGAAAATAATACTTATTCCGGTCGGATAAAAGTATTAAATTTAATTTTTATAATAAATTAAAAAATAATAATATTTTATTTGTTAGTGAATGTAAGCAAGATGATTTTGATATTTTAATTATTTATACTTTATGTATACGTGTTATAATATATTTTTAATTTATATAAAAGTTAAGAGTCACTACAAAAAAAAAGTTAAAATTTATCTACAAAAATAATTCTTAGCAAAAGATAATTTATAAAAAAAATGTTTTTGCGAATGTTGCGTTCGTAAAGGTCTTTGGTGAAAAATATGACTTTCGTAAAAAGAAATAAATTTTTCACAATGAAAATTAGAAAATTTATATAGCTACGAAATATTTTCGTAGATAAAGTTCTTTTGCTATAAAATTAAAATTCATAACAAAAGAGTTTAGCAACAAAATATGTATGACTTTTTTAACCAAATGGTATTAGTTATGAAAAATAATTTTGTAACTAAAACTTTTTTGACATGAAAATAGAATTTTCTAACAAAAATATTTTAGTGACATAATTAATTTTGTAATGCATAATTTATTTTTAGTGATAAACTTAATTTTTATACTCAATAACACGTTTCAACTAAAAAAAATATTTTTAGTTAAAAATATTGTAACTAATTAGATATATATATATATTTTTTTATGTGTGTAATTAAAGTAAGATGGTGTTGATTTTAAGATATCTTAAATTAATACATATTAATAATAAAATATTTGTGACAGAAGAGGCATTAATGTTGTCATTTCTTTGCATGTGGATTAAATTTGATATATTCACTCCGTTTCATAATAAAGTATTTATTTTTTTATTTTAGTCTGTCTCATAATAAAGTTTTGATTTTTTTTTAGTAACTGTATTTTCTATTACAAATACCTTTACAATTTATAATATATTATACAAATGCCATTACCTTTATATTACACATACTAATAAGATTATTTTAGTCATTTATACTTTATTCCTACTATATCCTAATATAATATTAATATTTTTAAAACTACGTGAAAAAACAAATGGATACTTAATTTCGGGACGGAGAGAGTACTAAAAATTAATAATAACAGATGAATATAATTATGGCTATTTCCACTGTCCCTTTCTCCTTGCCCTTCTCATGTTTCCCTATTTCTTCATTTATTTATTTTATTAAAACATCTTTATTTCAATTATGTACACTACAAAAATATAGTATATTTATAACGGAATTCTGTCGCTAAAATTCACATAGTTAATGTAATTTCATCCTTAATTCCGTCTTTAATTTTATTAGTAACGGAAAAAGTGAATTTAGGGAGAAAAAAACTTCGTTACAAAAATGATATTTTATTGTAGTGGTAGATAATTTATATAATCTTTAGGGTTTGTTTCCTCAATTTTTTTTAGACATTATTCTCTATATATATTTTACTCTTGATATATATGTTTTATCCTTCGTATAAATTAACATTCAATACAAAATGTCATTTTCTATATAACCGACACAATTATCTATATTTTACTTTAAACAAAAAAATGTGTTAATTTTTTAAATACAATATATATAATTTGAATTGATGTGGATCATATTTTATATTTGGGTATTTTGATTCTCTTTTCGAGTTGATTTATTTTTCAACCTGGATTTGAAGGCTTTTTCAAAGGCTTTTAAGAATTTGATTTTTAATTCGGTTTCTTTGACGGATTTTTTTCGAACTTTGGTCTCTGTGCAGATATATTTGATCATCGACTTTGAATTTGAAGACTACTCTTTTATGAATTTGAGGTCTTGATCTTTGTAAGGGTGGATTTGATGCTCTATAATGATTTTTTTTTTTTTTTTAATTACTGGATTGAAGAGGGCCGACTTGATGATTTGATAAAGAACGCGGAGAACGTCTTAAAGTTTTAGGTTGAATTTTGAAGGTTTTTCTTTGATTTTGACGGATTCTTCAACGAATTTTGAATATTTGATCTTCCCTCCGGCTTGGACATACGACGAAAAACGTTAATTCATTGATTTGTCGACCAATATTGGATCATTTGTCCAAATCGGAGATTTTTCGATGAAGAACGTTTCGAAGGACACGAAGAACATCGTAGAGAGAGTCCAGAGACTTATCCATTTGCTCGAGTTTTTGAATGAACGTTGGTGTCTCAAATAAATTGACCATTACTTATAGAGGAGAGGTAAACTCGACTTTCTTTTTTTGATGATGCCACGTGACGCGTTCTGATTGGCTGATGGGAAGATTTTGTAATTCTTCGTTTCTCATCGAATGTTGTTTTCAATTTTTTAAGGATTTAATTGCAGATATTCATTTCTCTTCAATATCTTTATATATTATTTTCTTTTTTGAAATATATTAATTATAATACTTCATTTATAGACAATATTTATTTAATTTACTGTCAAATTTATTATGACTATATATATGCAAATGATATTTGTACGATATCTTTTATTTTAAAAAAAAATTTGCATTAATAATTGATATTTATTGTACAATAATTAATATATATACATGATCAAATACCATATATTTATTTTATTAAAATTTTATTTTCTTTCAAAATATATGTGTTGTGACGGATTAGGGTTAATAACAAACAAAAAACGTAAAAAAATGCACAAATTTATGTGGTTCACCAACAACGTGTTGGCTACATCCACGGGCAAAAATGGAAAAAAAATTTATTCACGACGACAATGTTACATATTAGAGATTTCGTATCCCTAAGTCTATTTAAATAAACCAAGAAAATATATCATACGAGCTCAGCTCAATACTAACTCTAAAACCTAATACTGCATACCGTCGGCCGGGGGCCACTTTGCGCCCCCGGACCCCAAGCAAGACATGTCATTAATATGATATTTAATTGAATTTAGACATTTATTTTTTAATATCAATAATTACATAAAAAAAAAAGAAAGAAAAAAAAATATTTAAATTAAAATACTAAACAAACATCATCGAAGGACTAATCATAATATTATTATTATTGATATATTTATAATTGAGAAAGTATTTGTTATCATATTATATAAAAAATGTTTACATATCTATCTATGTTTATGTTCTTGTATTTTTGCGGGTGTGTTAATAAAAAAAAAATGTCTAAAATATATTAAAATGATAATTTAGGTAACTTTTGTTCATTTTGGCATCATACGATTTAATCTGATTAATTTTATAAATTAATAGATATATAAAGATAAAAAAGGAAAAATTACAAAGAATATTCTCCAAGTACATTCAATTATCAATTTTATTTTTTATTCATCTAGTTGACAAAATATATCTCACATACTTACGAAAGTTCTATTTCTATTTTTTAACCGTGCGTGGCCACGTGCGGGACAGCAATTGTGTGAACATCACCCGCTGTCAAAGGACATAAATAACGATTTTTGCAAACGTATAGGATATATTTTGCGAGATAAAAATGATAATTGAGTATTGACGATATTTTTTGAAATTTACTTTGATAAAAAAAGGCATAAATTATGTGTAAAGAAATAAATAGAAATGATAAAATCTTAATTAGACTATTTGTTTGGTTATAGTTTGAATTAATTGATTTGAAATAAAATATTGATTTAAATATTTATTTAAATAATATTTAAATATAATATTTTGTAAGAAGAAATATTATATTTTATTAAAAATTGTATAAAGTAAATAGAGTTGATTTCAATTTGAAATCACATAATAACAATGGAAAAATAGAAGCAAAACCAAAAACTATAATAAAATTGAAAATATAAATAAACTTCACTAATACAAAATTCTTAATAATTTCATACAAGTAAAATATTGGTAAAGAAATTTTTGGCAGCTCTTTTGTCGAAAAACTTCCCATGCCAACCAATAATTTCCGGTCAAGTTGATTCTTTGAAAAGTGTAGTCGAAACCAAGCAAAAGCCGATGCTTCTCAGCGCGAATCTTTCTCCCAGTCGCTAATGTGTAAAAGCAAAGCCGTCGTGAAGATGATAATTAAGAAAGATATCTAATAACTCACGATAGTCATCTTTTTTATTACCTCGTTTTTTAGGGAATGATTGAATTGCACGCGAAGCATATTCTACATTGAGATGAGCAAATATGTTAAACAATAGATATAATTTAATGCAATTTTTTCATTGATGTAAAGAATAGTACTTTCTACATCCAGGATAATCATATGACTTATTTTACTATTATTGAACTTATGTATAATTTATTTATAGTAAACAACTTTATCTACTCACAATTTCATTATCTATACTTTAACAAATATAATCAATTTGCCACTGCTTTTTCTGATTATCTCATTTCTCTATAGAAATGGATCAGGTGTTGAATTAAAAAATTCAACACCTGTTTTGATGAGTAATGATAATTACATTATATAATTAATAATTAATTATTTAATAATATGTTTAATTATTAAATCAAACCATCAGCGCAGACACCTGATCCGAATCTACCTCCTTACTCTATTATTAATTCTTTAATAAATTTTCTATTATACATTTATTTTATTTTTTACTTATCTTATTTTTATATTAAAATACTATTATTTCTTAATATTTATATTCGAATATTGTGATATAATTAGTCCAACTTAAACATGGATTTGGATCATGTTTTATTATTTGATACCCAACTTATACCATATCCTATATCCAAGTAATTAGGCCCATAAGCAATTAAGCAAATCATATTTGAATCGAATCGAATATCAAGTATACACATATTCATTACAATTTGTTCCTTATAAATATTTTCTCGAGAATATATCACATTATTTCCCTTAGAACATAATACATTTAATTAAGGCGCGAAAATTACCTTGATTTGATCTTGAAGGGCTTTGATCGAAATAGAAGCCTCGAGAAGCACCGAGGCTGTGTCGGTCTACATAAGAATGGATGAATTGAAACCTTAGTTTAATTAGACTTTAGAGTCGGACACAACATAGCCGTAGCGATTTTTTTTTTGCCAAAAAAGGTCTATAGGTTTCGACCCGATCCCACCTTTCCATAAGGAGAAACTAACTTTTGTAGACTTGTTATTTTGTCTGTTAATTTTTGGCGATTCCTCGACTTTAGAACTGGAATTGGAACTGAAATCGAAACCTGCATGAGCATAGATAAGCCAAATGGCGATTTATCAAGAATCCAACAAAATTTTGATGCTATATGATTGTGATCGAGCATATATAGCTTAGTATATATCATTGGTTTTCGGACATCATTGTAGTCCTCTAAAGGTCGCTTTCTTGCACTTCCAATGACTTGAGGCCGAGGTTGAGGTTGAGGTTGAGGTTCAAACTGTTATATATATAAATGGTTAATAAATCGAAGTGAAAACACTCGGACATATTGACTATGATCAAAAAAATGAAATTGATGATCATACTCTACGTTCGACTAGGGCTTTCCACGGTTGGGCCAATATGTCATCGATGAGCACGAGATTATGGTGGCCGGCATGGTCAAGAAAACTTCGTTTCGACATCAATGATCCTGATTTAAATTGACATAGTTCAAAAAAAAAAAAAAAAACAAAAAGCATCTTCAAGCAAGAAATTTACACACACACATATATATATATATATGTATATATGCATAAAATCATGATGCAAATTTCCATAGGGAAATTGATGGAGGAATACATAGTTACCAGTGTGATCACTTTTAGCTCCTGAAATTTTAGTTATGAAGAATGGAGTACTTGTTCATATATATATATATATGTATTTACATACATACATTATACATATAAATACACACACCTCACAAAGTTAAAATAATGGATACTGGATGGACGAGTGCAGTTTGCTTCTTGAAAATAACATATTGTTTCTATTTCTAAACAAATTAGCTGTTTGGTTGGTTGTGATTACAGATCGTAATCAATACTATTTATTAGATACGGTTTTCAATAAAAGTATACTTTTTGTTCTGTTTTAAAGGTCACATTTATTTTTTTGTATATTAATTTTGAATATTGATGATTATATCAAAATATAGTACGGAAAATATCAAACATACTTCTATTAGTGTCTTTTAATAGTAATATAATGTCGTTTCTGCAAAAAAATTATACAAAATAAGGATATTTTTAATGTTAAATATAATGACAGAAAACATAAATATGACCTTCAGAGGGGATGGGGGGAATATTATTTCATCTCACAAAACATCATATCAAATATTATTTTAAAAAACTTAAGCCAAAATTCTATTTCAAATTAGTTTCAAACCACAGTCAAACAAAATTATAAATATAATGTATTTTGGTTTTGACAGTAGAGTTTATTTTTCTTTTAGTTTCGACTTTTTTATTTTTACAAAAATAGTACTACATGTTATATTTTGTTTGATAAAATAATATGTTTATAAAGAAAACTATAATTATTGTAGTACAAAAAAAAAGTCCATACTTTTACTATTAGCAAAACTGTTTAGTACTGATTTTTTAAATTTGTATTATTCTTTCTACGATTTTGAAAGTATATACTCTCCGATTTTGAAAGTATATACTCTCCGTTCAATCGAAAAGTTGTCATTTTTCATTTTCGTTCGTCCCAAAATAAGGTTATCATTTCTTAATTTAGTAATTGTACTACGTACTTAACATAATAAATACTCTTCCAACTTATACTATATTATACAAATGTCATTACTTTTATATTAAACAATACTAATAGGGGCATTTTCGTCTTTTTTACTACAATCCATTATAATACTAATATTTAAAAATTTAAGTGCAAAACATAAACGACAGCCTTGCACCGAGACGGAGAGAGTATAAGATTTATTTTTTGTGAAAATTGCATAGATCTCCTAAACAAAGTTTCACAATATTATTTTGTTTAGATAAAGAAGTTTTATATAATTTCTAAATAATAATAATAATAATAATGTAGATCTTGTAGGAAAAAAAAAAAGTGAGTTTTTTATTTTTTTAATTTGTATTTTGGTTTGAACTAATCTAATGTCTTCTTCTTCTGACAAAAAAATAGCTAAGGGCGGCTGGGTCGGCTGGTTGACTTTTGTATTTAGTCCAAACAAAAAGAAGAAAGATGAATCAAAGGAATCTACTATTTGAAAACTGCAGACATAGTAAGACTTGATAGAGTTGATTCCGTTTGCATTTATTTATGTGTATATATATATATATATTGTCACAATTATACTAAAATAGAAAAGAATAGATAGACAAAAGCAGAAGAAAAATAATCTTATCAGAGTTTAAAAGAATACTGGACACCTAACATTACATCAAAATAAATATTTATAATAACTTAAATTAAACATGGGTAATTGGACAAAAAAATAAGTCCAACAATCAAAATAAAATATGGAACTAGTCCATACCGTTTGACATTGTACGATTTAAGCGAAATCAGTAAATGAAAACAAATGTCGAAACACTAGATTCAAGGCATCCCAACAGTATACTACTTTTATGTGAATTTAGGGTGTGTTTAATTTAAGTTATGAATTCGTATTTTTTTTTAATATAATTTTCAATATATATAATATTTATATTATATATTTTTATAAAAAATTAACAAAAAAATATTATTTTTTATATTATCAACTTTATTCAACTAACCTCAAAAAAATAATAAAAATAAAAAATAAAACATCCCACAGTAAAAACTAAACAAACAGACTTATATTATTATATACTTATATTTTACTTATATATATATATATATATTTTATCACACTAATTCTCTTCCTACCATTTACAATTTAATCAATATTTATTGTACAATTATTGTCCAACCATAATTAATAAAACTCAACTTTAAAAAATAAAAATAAATTATAAGTCATTATATATAATATATATATATATATATTTCAAATCCAAAACAACCAAAATAATTCAAAACAAAAATAAAAACACATGTGATTATTTTATTTTAAACTCTATACATTCCATTTTAAACATTAGATAAATTTTTTATATATTTATGTATTATTAAAAGAGATTGAGATTAAAAAAAAAAAAAAAAAAAAGAACACCAAATTGCATGGTTGCATCGATTTGTGATAGTTGTCGTTCCTGCATGGATTTTGTTGTTGTCTGAGTTTACCCACTCTTCTTTGGTTGACCTGTTCTTTAATTAGGAGTTGACATATTTATTTTGACTTGGGAAGTCAAACATGGTTGTGTTTATTAGGCACCCAGTCAGCACCTAATAGGAAGAGAGACAATATATCCTTTTATACAATGCATTCATGTGCGTTTGTTTGGGGTTTTGATTTTGAGTTGGAATTTCAATAGTACACCTTTTAAATTGAAATAGTATAAAATTAATTTTTAATATAATATAAAAAATAAAAAATAAATTTTTGATTTGATATTTTTGAAAAACAAATAAATTTGATGAATAATAAAAATATCAAAGAATCCTCCAAACAAACACACTGTACATGTTATATGCGAAGGAGGATCAGCTGATAGAAATCATAATTTCAGGATCCGTACTGAATAAATTAAATATTAATTGTCCTAATAAATATAATAAAATACTATAATTATATACTCATTATCGTCTTAATTCAAAGTACTATTTTTACCATTTTCGTTTGTTCCATTTTAAAGTAACTTTTTTTTTATTATTTTAGAAAAAATAATTATACACTAATATCAAAATACCCTTAACTTTTACTTAAATTACAAATATACCATTATACATATAATTACTTTATTCAAAAAGTCAAATGGCAAAAATATTAAAATCTCTTGCACACTTCAACTAACTAATAAAAATACTATTATTTATTAATCTACTACAAAACCTAAAGAGTCCATTTCAAAAGAGACGGAGGAAATATTATTTAATCTAAGGGATGATCCTTCTCTTTTATATATTGTACTATAATGTATAAATATATTTATTACAATGAAATAAGTAATATAGTGTATTATATATTATATTATATTATATTATTATTATTATTTGTTGTCAAATATATACCGTTTATTTTGCTTAAATGTGTTGAATGGAAGAAATCAACATAATTGATTTGACTCGATCAGCACAGATATAGATCCATTAAATTTTATATAGATTTTACTATTTGAACTTTTACTTTTTGAAAAAAAAAATCTCCCTCCCTAGGGCTAAGTAGGCCACTTTGGTTGGGAATAATGATTAAGAAACAATAATATAAAAATATGATAAATAAAAAGTAAATTGAAGTATTATATAAAAAATATTAAGAGAAATGATGAAAAAATAATGTGATAAATAGGAAAAGTAGTGACAAATTGATTATTATTGGTTAAAGTATGAGTAATAAAATTATAGATGAATAAAATTATTTCCTATAAATAAATTGTGTATAAAACAAAGAAACATGTCATAATTATAAAAGACGAAAGAGATATTTATATAACATTATATTAAATATTATTTAAATAAAAATTCAAATCCTTTAAATTCAATACAAATTGAGAAATGTTCGCCTTGTATTTATTTGGTGTAGGTATTCTTTATCTTAAGTATATAAAAAAATTGTATCGATAATATACAAATAAGACTTTGTATTGAATTATTTATTTTTTATGACTGAATAAAATATTCATATTATATATTGTGTAAATATGTGTATATATTATATTTTATGTAAAAATCGCACCAAAACATTTTGTTAGGTGAACATGCATGATATTTTATTTTCTTTAGACATCAAATGATGAGGAATTTATTATATATTTATATAATTACAATTATAATTCTGACTAAAGTAATTAACACATAACACGTAATATAAATGCATAATATGAATTGAAAGTATTATATAATAATTCACATGACATTGTGCGATTGATTTCAACCCAAAATATATGTTAACATATCACCAATGTATGGTATGAATGTTCGCCCATGGTAACAATCCACATAATACACGGTGATGTAATTCGCGATATATATCACAATTTTAGCACAATGTATATATTAATATAACACGGATATTATGTAGTAGAAATTATGAGTGCATGATAACAATGAGTACACACATTGATTTAGCTAAAGTTATATATTTAAAAATAATTGATATGTATTGATTGATCTCAATCAACACCCTAACTACCCTTTATATATATATATATATATATATAATTAATGTCCTACACAAATTTAAAATTTTAAGAACAAGATAAAACATCAGCAATTATTTATGCTAGCAACAAAAATAAAAATCACCTGTCACACATGGTTCGACTAGTGTGACTTTTCCGTCGGGCCTGCTTTGCAGAGTATTAGGTTCGGTCGGAAAGTTTACCCAGTGCACACTTTCAGGTAGCGGCTGCAAGTTCCCACGTTATAAGTAAAACAAAATACAAAACTACAAGTTAGACGATACATTACATTTTGCGTGCATATTTGATATGCATATATTAATAGTTTAGATGGACTTCTATTGCTTTTATATTATTTGAGCACAAATCCAAAGTGTACATGTAAAGAAAGAAAAACAAAAAGAATGGAAAAAAA